GCAGAAATTCTGCAACTGCTACAAATGGAAACAATAAGAACATTTGTAGCTGCTACAAAATTGCCACTGTGAAATCACCATAAGGCCTCATTCACGCTTGAGCTGGCCGTCTTTTTTTTAGTCTATTTTTAAAGGCTTGTATGGGCATTTTTGCCTATGTAGGTAGGTCTAAATCCCAGTCAGGGCACGTTCTCCTTGTGCATGCGTGGGTTTCCTCTGGGCACTCTGGTTTCCTCCCACATTCCAAAGACTTGCTGGATGGAAAATTGGTGCCTGTCTAAATTGGCCCTCGTATGTATGCATGTGAGATAGGGACCTAAGATTGTAAGCTCCTTGAGGGCGGGGACTGATGTGAATGTGTAAATTGTTGCTTGCTATATAAAAGCCTGTAATAATAAATGTAACTGTTCGAGCTACAGGCATTTTGAAACAGCATGACAAAATGCTCAGATGTGAACAGCGGTCATTAAAACAATGGGATTCCTCCTGTTGGGTTTGAGTGCTACAAAACGCTCAGGTGTGAATGGGACCTACATGTTCATTGTTAAGGCCTTGTTCACACCAGACACAGTGCGTTCACTATGTTGTGGAGCAGGAGGGGGCAGTCCATTGAAGTGAATGGCACCGTAGCCATGCCCTCCGGACGCAATGCATTCAGCCGCACAGAAACGCAAGGCACATCAATGCCTGTGGTCCGGTCCAAACAAAATAGTGCTTGCAGCATTTTGCTCGGGCCGGACCGCAGGCATTGATGTGCCGTGGCTTCCCCTGCGGCCGGAGGGCGTGGCTACGCACTGTACGCACTCTATCTGTTGTAAATGAGGCCTTGAAAGGGCCTTCCACCAACCTGTTTTCAAGTATTGGGAGCTGACTATTACCACGCTTTCAGAGCCATCCCCCGATGATGCAATGCTGGATCCGGCATATGCGCATACAGAGATCTAGCTGACCTCCATTTTAGATACTTATTGTGGCAACATCAGCAGGTGGCCGCACTAAAGCTCTAGAGCTTTCAAAAAAGTATTTTACAAAATAGGATAAAATACTAGTGTTATAAAAAGTATATAAAGTTATATAAAAAATGTTAAAGGTGAGCTTTAAGAACTGCTACATCCAATTGTAAGTACTTGTTTAACAACATATTTTATACTGTTTCACAGAAGAATGCCTATAAAATGCATTATCACTACACTTGGATTAACACTTGTATGTTGCAATCATGAGTAGTAAAACACATTCACTTTGAATTGTAGTCAGTAAAATATTTAAAAAAAACGCACCTATACACACAACCCACAGATGTATATGCTCTGTGCGTTGTGGTCCACTGTGTTTCTGAAAATAGTGCAGGTTTATTAAGAACCCAAACAAAATGAAGGGACTGCTTTAACACAAGACATCCCAACAAACGGAAAATGCTGATTCCCACAACCTACAGGTGTGAATGGGCCCAAAATAGTCAACAGGTTTCGGCAGTATGAAATAATGCTAAATGCATTACAGACATATTTAAATCCCTCACCAAATTGTTTTGGGGGCTGGTAAAGACTTGGGCGATGCAAGGACGCGCGTCCCGGGACTGCATGATCGTGTGCGGGTGCCACCTGGCCCTATTGATTTCAATAGGGATACATCTGCACAGCAGTCGCTAAAAAAAGGTACATGTACTCTTTTTCGCGACATGCGATGCACGATTTTTTTGCAACTGTGATCGTGTGTGATTGCACAGGCGGAATCGCAACGGGGAAACTGCGCAATCTGCCTGGTGCAACTGGGGTGCCATAAGAAAATAATGGCACCTTCACTGCAATGAGCGGTTGTGTGCGACTCCATAACCGCATGGCCATCCACGCAGTTTCATGCACGATAGGCGTCACAGATCGTCCAAGTGTGAATCTTGCCTAAAGTGTATGTATAGCATGTTTTAGTTTTAGATAAGGGGGTGGGCAACCAGGGGTGGGTAACTCTAGCCGTCCATCTGTTGTGGAACTAGAAGTCCCATGAGGCATTGCAAGACTGACAGTGAGGGCTTGTTCACACCAATTGCAGTGCATTCCAGAGCGGTAGCTGCCACAAAGCACACGCAATCGCTCACAAAAATTCCCATGCGTTCTGGGGTGGAAGGGGACTTGGCGGTGGATTGAAGCCACACACCCCCACCCCCCGCAGTGCGATCGGACGCATGGAAAAACATTGCCTGCGTTCCGTTCCACTGCAAACGCAAACAATGCTGCTTGCTTTTTTTTTTGCGTTTGCAGTGGAACGGAAAGCAGGCAAACTTTTGGCACACGTCTGATCACACTGCGGGGGAGACGTGGCTGCGCTGCATTGACTTCAATGCACCGCCATGTCCCCTCCCGCCCCAGTACACAGCGGAATTTTTGTGAGCGATTGTGGTGCGTTCCAGCAGCTACCGCTCTGGAACGCACTGCAATTGGTGTGAACAAGCTCTTATAGGCATGACTCCCAGAGGCAAAGACATGTGGGGATTTGTAGTTAAAGCACAGCTAGAGGCCTGGAGTTGCCCACCCCTGGGTTAGACCATCTGTCAAGTTTTTTATAGCGGTCTGTGTCCCCATTAGGGAGATCCATCCTTTCATTTGTACTGGTCACCATTGTCAACTAAAAAGAAAGTGAGGGAAACTCCAAAAAGTTGTCCCAGACCAAGAGGTAAGAACTTCTGCAGACAACTGTCTAAAGTTGGTCATACACCTTATAACCACTGCACAACTTTTTTGTCCAGACATCTCACCCTCGTTCAATTTTTGTTCAAACAGCCCATCATGACCACAGACCAATGTAGTTCGCAATTAACGTTCGTCAGCCCCTCTAAATGGCCGATTTTCGTCGATTGAACGGCCAAATTTTATCTTGAGATTTTTGTTGCACATTTTTCGTCCTAGACAAACATTTTATAGCCTGCTTGATTGACGAAAACCTGCCAGTTGTACAGTAATTGCAGTTGTGCACTTCCCATCAACTGGCTGATTATTCGAAAACGAATTCGAATTCGAAGACGAAAACACGATTGCGGACGAAAATCGGCAGATAATTGTAAGGTGTATGTGTACACCTTTTGTGTACACATACACATTTGTGTATGTGTTTCCCTTTTACTTTCACCTTAAGATGGGAAAAAAATACACTGTCAAGGGCCTTAACCCTTATCTACTCGATCCAGTTTTGGCTATACATGCACTTTAATGTTAGGAATGCTGCACACTTTAAGCAAAGGGATGTGCAACAAACAAATTCAACGTATTTAAATTTAAAAGCAAACATGTAATATATTTCAGCTCATCAATCCTTAAATGTGGTGGCCGCATTAGTTTTATTTTAGGCGTTTTTTCCCTTTTACTTTCACCTAGTGAGCCAGCCAATTTGTCTATTATTTTTTATACTCCTTTAAAGAAGAACTCCGCTCCTTTCAGCCTCGCTCCCCTCCGCTGCAGGGGACTAAGGTCCCTGAGTCATTGCATTCTATACACACTGTATCGGGCGTGAGGATGCCAAGGAACATGCCATCGCTGGAGCTGAGGAGGGGACAGGCTGGAGGGAGCGCTGTGATAGCCAGCTCCAAGGATCGGGTGAGTATAACTTTGTTATTTTCCTCCCTAGACCAAAACGAGCAGTGGGGCTACCCCCGCACTGCAAGGGTTAATAAACATTTTGCCTGGAGGTCTTCTTTAACAGACCACACTGCCCAACAAAAGAGTCAGATAGAGGTTTGAGACAAGCCATTCAACACTGAGAGGCGTACTTACAATGGTAAGCTTTTATTCATTTATGTAAAACCTTTAGCCCCCGTTCACACCAAGGTGACAGCGTTTCAGTGCAGATTATGCACTTTTTTGTGTGTTTTGTGCGCATTTTATGTGTGTTTCCACGTGTATACTAAGTGGCACGTTTTTGTAAGCAGATCCGTGACATATTGATGTAAATGGGAAACGCATGGAAAATGCACAAAATAGTTGTGTTGCGCATTTTCTATTGAGTCTACAGGGACAAATTGTGTTAATCTGCCCAGAAAAAAAGCTTGTGCGGTTTATCCGGCGACAGGCATTTTTTTTCATGCACGACTCTATGCTTAGGTGTGAACTGGGGGCTATAGGAATACATGATATTTTTTCTGCTGTGCGTTTCAGCGCGCACAAATGCACGCAACAAAATGCCATAATGTGAATGAAGCGTTATCTCAAAATGAAAAACAAAACAGTTGCTATAACTACTTAAAACTGTTCGCTGGAGTTTGGTTTTCATTTGTTAGTCAAGTCCATAAATCTGCTAGTGCATCTAACAACACCCCTTCCCCAGGATGACAAGGCTGCTGTCCAATGGTGGCTCCATTGCTCCCCTATAGAGTGGAGTCACTCTAAGACAGAAGCATAAACACAGCATCTAGCCTGACAGATTTTTCTCAGCATATAGAACACAAAATGCAAGTCGCAAGTGTGAATTTTGTAAGGAACCCACTGCTACAAGCTCGCTCCCATGATGGACTACAATCTCACATTTAGTTTACTAATTTGTATTGAGATTGTAGTCCATCACAGGAGCGCACTTGGAGCGGTGGCAACTTTACAACACACAGGGATCATGGGGAACACAAGTAGCCACCCTCCAGAAGGAAGAACGGTGTCAGCACCAATTCAGGGATAATAAGGATGTACAGCCTAGTGATGCACAAATAGGATACATTTTTATTAATAGTTAAGGTGCTTGAATGCATTTCTAAGATTTAACTCCTGAGTTTAGTGTCACTTTAAAATAGAAAACGAATGCAGCCACCATATTAAAGTATTGGTAAAAGGTGACATTTTTGTTTTTAGGTTTAGATATGCTTTAAATGTAGTGACACACAGTAACTAATCAGAAGTCATGTCACTGCTCTTCCAAAATCTGATTTCACAGGTCAGTAGAACAATACTTACTGGTATTCCAATGTATTTCAAAGGTAAAGACAATTCTATAAAGACACAAATGTGATGTACTGGACTTACCTGAAGTTCACACCATGCCACTTCCACTGTAGTCTCAGTATCCAGACCTTTGTACACCGTTTTGAAAGACCCTCTTCCAATCTCGATGTTAAATTTCAAGTATCTCCCATCTGGGGAGGTGGCTACAGCTTTTGTCTCATTTTCCTCATTCTCTTCTTGCTCCCTCTTGCTTTCGATCGCTAAATGTTTCTGTATGGGGATTAAAGCACACTTGGGGCTGTTGGCTTCATCGTCTGATCCAGAACTGATGTCCACGATACTGACCAGCGCGGCTGGAGATGGCAGCACACCTTGTTTGGTGATGTATGGTGGAAGGCTTATGGAAAGAGAATCGGGCTCTGCTTTTTCTTCTAGAGATGATGGCTGCGCTGGGGACCATGAGGGGAAAGAAGTCCCTGGTGGGTCGTAACCCAATAGTTCCAGTTGAGCAGAGCTTCTCCTGTTGAACTGGTAAGAGTTCCGTCTGGTTCCTTCCTTGCCCGAAAGTCTTCTCCTCCTTATGGCTGCAAGGGAGGACAACTCCTCCGGGTCTTCTAGTAGATCTGAAGCAAAAGAAATGCCACAACTTAAATCCACTTCTGTCTGAGACATGGTTTGTCCGGAAGGTGCTTCCAATGCGAACATTGCCTTGGTAGCCACCAGTATGCTTTATAGATTGCCCCACCGAACAGTCATGGTTGACCTGTCAAAAAAGTGGCCAACCTGTGGATCTGCAAGTGCAGTCTAGCACATGGCATTGGCCCTAGTCATGGGGGCACTAAGGAAACCAAGAATGAGTGCCACGTTAAGAATATCTAGTTACTGGTGCAGGGCAGCAACTAAAAAAATAATCAATCGCAGCTGTCGATGTCCCTGGAGAAGAAAGAGAAGTCGAGTGTCACTTGTGAAGTGCTAACAGCAGGAGCGCAGAGCAAGGCTCTCTCTACTCCTGCTTCTAAAGTCACTGACAGATCCAGCCGTATGACAGGCAATCTGATCTTGCATTCATGTGACTGCAGCAGAAAAAGCCAGCCTCCTGTCTGAGCTGGTGAACACCTCCCCCCAGGCCAGCACCTCCCCTCTTCTACTCAAATACACCTTCAAATACTATTTCTTTCTCGCATGCACACCACCTAACAAGGTCACCCCCCCTCCACATGTCCTGGCTCTACCTATTTCTTCTATGTAATCCAGCCTGAACAGGAAGGCTTCTCACTCTACTAACTAACTGCCATCTCATGCACAGTAATCCCCTGCAGGCAGGGACACTTGATCCCACATCTGAAGTCGGCTGCAGGGACATTTCATCCCACCAATGAAATCTACCCACTGACAGCTATAAGAGTAACCCCTGCCTGCTTCTTTTTTTTTTAATAGGAAATAGTGCTAAATTAGGCTCCATTCACATCTATAGTTTAGGTGTGTTTAAGGACTTCTCCGCCAGGAACTTGCGATTCCCAAAGCTGCCGTTTACAATTGGCAGTTGTCAACCGTTCAAGTTAATGATAGTCTTTCAGCTGCTGCATTTAAAAAGCGTCAGAACGTTGGCTCACAACATATCATCGTATGTGACAAGTTTACCTGAGGTTAGGAAGAGATCCCTATCCCTGGACGCACAATCGATGCATCCAGGGATAGTGATTGATTCCTAATCACATGTAATAGGAAGTATTACATGCAGGAATAGTATTTAGGGAGAGATGCAATCGATGCATCCAGGGATAGTGATTGATTCCTAATCACATGTAATAGGAAGTATTACATGCAGGAATAGTATTTAGGGAGAGATGCAATCGATGCACCCAGGGATAGTGATTGATTCCTAATCACATGCAATAGGAAGTATTACATGCAGGAATAGTATTTAGGGAGAGATGCAATCGATGCACCCAGGGATAGTGATTGATTCCTAATTACATGTAATAGGAAGTATTACATGCAGGAATAGTATTTAGGGAGATATGCAATCGATGCATCCAGGGATAGTGATTGATTCCTAATCACATGTAATAGGAAGTATTACATGCAGGAATAGTATTTAGGGAGATATGCAATCGATGCATCCAGGGATAGTGATTGATTCCTAATCACATGTAATAGGAAGTATTACATGCAGGAATAGTATTTAGGGAGATATGCAATCGATGCATCCAGGGATAGTGATTGATTCCTAATCACATGTAATAGGACGTATTCCATGCAGGAATAGTATTTAGGAAGAGTTCACAATTAGTGCTGAGCCGAACACCCCCCTGTTCGGTTTGAATATGAACTTTCGAACATGGGAAAAGTTTGTATGCGAACTCGAAACTTAATGCAAGTGTAGGGGGGTAGAACATTGAAAATCAAATGTCCCCATTTTGAAGCTTTATATGCAAGTTATTGGCCATATAAAAAGGGTATGGGGATCCGGGTACTGCCCTGGGGGACATGTATCAATGAAAAAAAAACAGTTTTTAAAGGAGCAGTGATTTTAACATTGCTTAAAGGGCAACAATAAAAATAAAAAATATCGTGCCTGGGGGGGTCCACTTAACCTGCCTGTATAGTGGCTCATCTGTACGATGTATAGAACCTGCTGAAGCAAAACTGACATTTCTAAAATTAAAAAAAAATTACTTGACGGATGGCTCCGCCCAGCTGTCAGAAGCAGGCTGTCAGCGGGCCAACGGGCGGCCAGCTTTGGCTTTCATCTCGACTCAGTCGAGCAGAGACATATGCCTTCAGCTCGACTGAGCCGCTCGGCCAACTTCGGGAGCTGTACGGGCTTATAGGGAATAGACCGTACAGCGGCCCTTCGGTTCTACTGAACTGAAGGGGTACTGGGGCCAAAGGATCAGACGAAGCTAGAGCTAGATCCTTCGGCAGCTTAGTGAATAGACCCCATAGTATCACATACGTTTGTGCCAGCATTCTGCTGTTTTTAAATGCAGCCTCTTGTAACTCGATCATTAACTTGAATGGGTGACAGCTGCCGCTTGGATACAGCAACTTTGGGATGCCTGCTGCAGGAAATCCCTAGGAATCCCTAAACATACCGAAACTATAGGTGTAAATATAGCATTTGTATTGTATTTTAAAGTTGGCTGTACAATGTTAGATTATTATTAGGGATGTACCGATAACAGTTTTTTGGTCTTGAGTACGAATACTGATATTTTTCTATCGATACCGAGTACCGATACGGGTGCTTCCGCTGGCATGGAGCGGGCTTCCTGGGCAATCAGGTAGCCGGGCGGCGGGTAATGACATGCCGCCGGCTTCCTGATTGCCCTGGAAGCCAGCTCCATGTTGTTTGGCCACCTCGATTGTGATTAACCAGGAAATCGTCTACAGTCTGTGTTTGGCTGAGAATTTTTCATCTGGCTTCTTCGTTTTTTTCTGATGGATTCAGATGAAGGATGTCTGGAGGGAGGCTGCCAACAGGATCACCTACTGAGAGAATTTTGCGCAGGTCACAATGAACTGTCCAGCTTAAGTGTATGCACAGTCTTTTTTTTTTTTTTTTAGTTGTGAATAAAGGAAGGGATGGCTTGAATCCAGTGGTGTAACAATCGCCATAGTGATCCAAGGCCATGGGGCTCGGGGCACAGGGGACATCCCCCTAATGCCGTGCGGGCCTCCTGGGTCGCTATAGCATCTCAGGCTGCTGGCTGTCACTGGCGAGTGTGAGGAGGAATGTGTCACTGTTAGAACACCGACAACCTGTCAGTGATCTGTGTAGTGGTGTGTTCCTCCTCTCCACAGGAGGAGGGAGGCTGGGCCTGGTGTCAGAAGCGGAGGAGGAGGCGGGCCCGACGATGGAAGAGGAGGTGGGGCCTGGTAATGGAGGAGGCGGGGCCTGCCAGCTACCACGGAGGCAGACAGCGGATTGGGGCTGACAGGTAAGACGTGTGCAGCCTACCTGAGACCCTGCAGAGACCGCCATAGAGAGTCTATGGCGGGCTCTGCAGGGTGACTCTCAGATGGGCTGTTTGGGATATCAGGTGGGCTCTGATATCCTAACAGGGGCATAACTAGAAATCACAGAGCCCCATAGCAAAATGTTATATGGGGCCCTGTGATTTCTAGTTATGCCCCTGTTAGAATCTCTCTAATTTTTACAACCATCCAATGCTCTCTTTGGTCGATGTCACACTTGCGATCTTGTCCTTGGTGAGTTTTTAATAGCCTGTCAAGAGAACCTGAAGGGAAGTACCAGATTCACTTTGTCCCTTTTGATTATCTGATTTAAAAAATAAATAAATTAACACTTATAAGTATAATTAACTCCGGCCGGGAGCTCTCTAGATCTGAGCTGGGTGCGCGAGTGGGAAATGCCCGATATTTAAAAACAGGCAGTGTGTCACAGGGGATCAGAGGGAGATCGTTACACGAGCTCCCTAAGGTCCCCTCTCCTCTGCAAGAATGCAGAAGTGTTGTATATTACATCACTTCCGCATTCTTGTGTCACTCTCCAGCTTCAGAAGCTGGAAAAAAGCTGATTGAGCAGATCTGTGCTTCATCAGCTTCTTTTGGGGGGTCCTAGGTGACATTAGCGGTCTTGGAGACACCTGATGTCTCCATAATGAGGACCTGTCACATATTTTGCTATCACATAGGGGGGGGTTTATTAGCCCACGTATGTGATGTATTATACAACACTTCCACATTCTTGCAGAGTGTACCAAGCTCCCTCTGATCCCCTGTGACACAGCCGACATGCTGATCCCGGGCTCGCACCGGGCACAGCGGAGCCCGGGATCAGCGGGATAACGGCAGGGAGGGGCCGCGGAGGGGCACCGATCGGCACCCCATACACTTGTATGGTTACAGGCATCGCTGCCTGTTTTTAAAAAACGGCCAGTTCCCGCTCGCGCGCGCCGAGGGGGCGTGTCTGAGCGGACGTCTAAAGACGCCAGCTCAGATCTAGAGAGCTCCTGGCCGGCCGTTTTTCTCTGATAACACTAAACTGATGAGCGGTAAAAGCTTTTAAAGCGTCGCCCATGGCCAATTTTGGGTATGGTAGTTTTCTGCGATTTCGCGGGTGCGCGCAATTTTAAAGCTTGACATGTTTGGTGTCTATTTACCCGACGTGACCCCAACTTTTATATTTTACCAAAAAACTGGGTAATAATAAATGTTTCCTAACATAATGTAAAAAAAAATTATTTTTTTTCAAAATTTTCAGTAATTTTTCCTAATTAAAGTAAAAAATAAAACCCCAGTGGTGATTAAATACCACCAAAAGAAAGCTCTATGTGTCCCAAAAAATTGGTATAAAATTAATTTCAGTACAGCGTTGCATGACGGAATAAACG